GAATCATAATGAATCAGGATGAAATTTCGTTTTGGCAGACCCCCTGGAAATGCGGGGGACCGGGGTCTGATAAATAATGAATGAGCGTCAGCCCTCATGTCAACCTCTCAAACTCACTCCACCACTCGAGTCTGTCACTCACAATCTGGTGGTACCCGAATTCCCACCAAGGGCCATGGAAACCATTTCAGACTTGACATCATCGGCCCAGCCACCGCACTTGCACATTTACAACACAGCTTCTGCCTTCTGGCTATTCTCTTGCCGACAAACCCAAACGCAGATGCCAACCCGCCCAATCAGTAGTCGACACCCTCGCTCAAGGCCCTGAAAACCCCTAGCACGGCGCATCCCGTGGCTCGCAGGACAAATCATCCACGAGCCGTCAACCGAGCCGGGGAAATTCTGGAGTTTACAAGCTCGCTTCTTGGCGCGATGCTCCGCCCCTGCTCGTCCGTGATCTTCGTGGGAACCCATCCGCGCCCACGATGCAGGAAACTGCGGAAACGGAATTTCCCCATGGGACTACTCGACGAGGGAATCATAGCGCCCTATATGACCATTACCCGGTGGGACGGCGGGGGCGAATCCGGATGAGCCAACGGCCGTGTTTGCAGTGCAGTTAAATCATATTGAGGGAGGGATATTGGTCACGTTTGTCGGACAACATCAAGTTATGGATCTAGTGGGGCAGGTGCAGCTTATGAAGATGCTGGATAGGGTGTGTCGAGGGGAGGAGATACCGGAGGCGGAGGTGGAGGTTGCGAACAGGGAGCGGGATGGGGTGATTCCCGATTTAGGGGACGACGAGGAGGAGCCGAGGGAGCAGCTTGGGAGGCAGACGGTGAAGATGTCACCTGCGGCCGACATGAATGCGACTCAGCATGATGAAGAGGTGGAACAAGTGGCATCGCCAGCGGTTTGGGCGAGTTTTTCGTTTTCGGGGCAATCTCTTGCTGCGCTCAAAGCAGCGGCTCTGGAAACTGCCACCAGCAAGAGGATCTCCACCGACGACACGCTCACCGCGTTCATTTTCCAGTCTATCACCCGCGCTCGATACCACCGCCTTCGAGATGACCCAAGCGCCACGTGCACGCTGGGCCGCGCTGTCGACGCCCGCCGGTACCTCAAAATCCCTGCGACCTACCCCGGCCTCCTGAACAACATGGTCTTCCACTCTCACTCCATCCAAGAAACCATCTCAACACCCCTGGGCGTACTCGCGTCGGAGCTTCGGCACGAGGTGGACCCCGCCACATCTCGGATCGGACTGTACACGCGCGCACTAGCCGCACTTCTCCATCGAACCCCCGGCAAGGGGAGCATCTCTATGGGAGCGAACATCAATCTCTCCCGTGACATCATGATTAGTTCTTGGGCTGGTGCCGGTGCAGATTGCTATGAGATGGATTTCGGGATGGAGTTGGGGGTTCCTGCTGCGGTGAGGAGGCCAGTGTTCGTTCCCGTCGAGGGACTGGGGTATTTATTGCCGAAGCATCCGAGCGGGGAGATTCCGTTGGTGATTTGTTTAAGGGAGGAAGATATGGAGCTTTTGAAGGGGGATGAAGAGTGGAGGAGGTGGATGGGCTAAGTTGGGTGATAGCCAAAACGATCAATGCGTGACGCTCCAACAGACCCGTGTTGGGAGGACCGGGCATTGGGTACGCAGCGTGCTGCCTGTCGTTGTTATCGGCGTTACAATGCTTCCAATACATAGGTACCGTAGCCAAGCAATATGGCTCTTTCCACCAGCGTCCGGTGCTGAGATAAGTGCCAGATTTTGATAAAGGTTAGCAATGGTGATAGGAGGTCGCAGTGCAAATTGTCTATCAGAGCAGGGTTCCTTTCTTCCAAGCAGTGAGTGCTTTTCTTTCTCTTTCTCTCTTGATTTTCGTATCTCTCAACCGCTCCAGTTCCTATCGCTTTATCAAAAGCTTCTATTATAACTTTTGTTTGAAAAGCAGCGGGCATATCTAGCCAAAATGTCTCTATCTTTGGGTGTCTTCGTGGCTTTCTGGCGGTGGCCAGAGAGCTCCCACTTGTAGTACGTGGCCAGTGGCCACTGTTAAATGCACTGTCCTGGCACTTTCCAGATTTCTTTCTGATACAGAGGGCATATCCTGGGCCGGATATCTGAGATGGGAAGAAATGAAACGGTTGAACATGAATGCGTGGTCTGATAATTGCTCACCGGAGGCTGGGATCAATGAGTTTAACTTGGATAGGCTGAGGGAGGTAATTTTCTAGCTGGTCATCCGCAATCGACAAAGTCCAAAGCGGCTCCCTCGATGCCGGCCTCAGGGGTAGTGTACACAGCCCCACTTCGAACCCCACTTATGTGGAAGCGGATGCGACAGTTAAGTGCGAGGTGTCGTTTATGAAGGTGGGGCCTTTGTCTGGTACTCAAGAGAATGTAAAAAAGAAAAACATACAACACCGAGGATTCGCTGGTCGTCACCGACCCAACTACTGATTCGGCTCTCACGAGGTTAATTCGGGGAGAGCGGACGGGATCCCGTGCTTTCTCGTGGATATGGTCGTATGTGACAGCTGAATGAGAGAGAGTCGTTTATGAAAGTGGGCTTTGGTACCCTGAAGAACGCAGCAAAAATACATACAACACCAAGGATTCCCCAGTCGTCATGAGAGCTTGATGCCACACGTGACCCTACTCGTCCGAGGTGGTCAGGCGCACGCCCGTGCCATGATGAATCACCACACGCCGCTTACTTCTGAGGGAGGTCAAGGCGGGTATGGTACTGTATATGGCCCTTCCAGGGGGCATCATTCTCACTGCCTGTCGCAAGATACAGCAGAGGCTCCGCCCGAGGAGCGGCAACAGGGGCCGGCCGCGAACCGTGGGACTGCAGGAGCCCACGGCAGTGGAGAAAGCCGCGAGCACGATCGCGCGCTGGACGGGGGGAGCCGCAGACACGGACAGTGTGGTAGAGGACGCCTGGAGAACGAGGTGGCTGAAGGAACGAGACGGCAGAGCAGTCATCAGACCGGCGGACGACCTTGACCATCAGCGGGAGACGCTGTTTTGGGACGAAACCCTAAGACGACACGACGGCCTGAGCAAGGCGAAGAGCTCTCTGCTGGTCCAGGTCCGGACAGGGGCAGTAGGCCTACGGGACTTTCTGTTTACACGGGGAGTCCCAGAGATCCTAACGCCCACCTGCCAGTGCGGCGAGGGACGGGAGACTGCCGAACACCTGGTGGTGTGGTGTTTGGCTCCACCGCTGACTCGAAGATGGGAGAGAACTGATATTCGAACGCGACGGGACTTTTACTCTGTTCTACACGGTATTGATCCTACATCGGCACGGCTCGCGGGGAGGGTCCTGGAATGGCTAATGGACTCAGGGAGGCTGATGATGTTCAGTTTGGCCAGGAGGCTTGAGCTGGAAGCGGCGGCCTAGCACGCACCTCCCTCGGAGGCCAGGAGGCCTCCTCTCTTTGTATACGCAGGCTCACGCACATGTACTTTCCTTAACTGTCGGTATGGGTTTTTCACCCGGCCCGCGAGGGCGCGGTTTTCCTGTACATTAAATAGCTGAGGGTCCGGCACGCCTTATGGCATAGCGGAGTATGAATAATAATATATGGCCCTTCCGCAATTATCACGGGCACAGCCTGTTCCATATTCAGGGTTAGGGTTGTAGAGCTGGACCCCAAAGTGGTGGCTTTTCCCTCCTCATGCAACCACACCATATCCAAGGTGAGACCTGCCACGGCCTGGCAGCCCGTGAGAAAATGTCTCCCACACAAACGGTTGATAAAGAGCTCGCATCACAAATGGCTCAATTACATGGACGTGAGCGAATCAAACTGTCCATTTTTAGTAAGCCGGCCTGCAACCGCTTGTTACCGGTGAGCCAGTAGTTTATCGCTCGTGGGCCCTCTCCATGATCCGTTATGAAGCCTTCCGGAGATGGTGGTTGAAAAACTGTAGCGCTGTCCACGCCACCCAATGCTCCATTGTCGGCGCCCTCTGCCCAAGAGTGACCATGTCTCCGTGACTAGAGGTACTCCTGTTGCAAAGTTCAACCTATAATGTCGCCTCCCCATTCGCGGCGTTTAACCACTTGCAGCGTTGAGTCCACCAAGTTACTTCCCATTGAACCTACTCTAGATTGATCAAGGTCATCGCCAACACTCTATTCCTCAGTTTGGCTGACATGGCGGACCGACCGCGGTCCAGGGTCACCAAAGATACTCCTATCGGAACCGCCTTGATGCCTTCCGCGCTTCCTTCAACCCGGTCTGCGGAGGAGTGGGACGAGACATGGGAACCTTAACGAGCACATGGCGGAGACACAGGCGCTTGACAAGTGTGAGCGCCTTTACGGCTCGGTTACTGTAAATACTGTCTGGGATCTTGCGGCTGCATGATGACTTTCTTCCGGTGTTGGCCTGGCATTTGCTGCTTTTATAAGGTGTGAACCTTTACTCAAGATCATCTCGGACAATCATGTCGCATTATTTCGCTTCGTCGCGCCCTATACCAAATCTGCACCTCTCTCTCCCGGCTGAATATATCTTGTGTTGCTGCAACTACGTCACACCTGGAAGATGGATAATCCCCGTTTCCCATTATCGGGGCCGAGAACCGGCGGCTAACCTCAGATAAGTGGCAAGTAGTGTCAATAAGAATTGCGTCAGGGGCGAAAAGTAAATCATATAGAGCAGAGACGGCTCCCAGGCCCTTCGCTTAAACAGAGATAATAAAATATATGAGCTATTACAGCGATTGTAGAAATCCATCACTCTGTAGAAGCAAACCCGAAGAACGTCACTCGGCCAGAGCTATGTCCTAAGATGAGTGTATGACCATGAACCGCCACACATGTTGCCCGATAGTCGGCGGGAAGCCAAAGAACGCTCTTCCCATCTCTTATGACCCAATCGTCGCCGACAAAGAGCAAACCACTGGCGGGTTTCTGGCCTCCAAAGCTGCTTTGAGTTTCGGAATTTACGGTTATGCTCAGCAGCCCTCGGTCTGTCTCGAGACATTTGCCGTCCGGCGAGAACGCCACTGGCCTGACCCAGTGGCTATGCCCCTCGAGCGTCTGCCGGTGCGCGCCCCAGTGGTCTCTAATGCCAGCGGTCGTTTCGATAAAACGCAACCTTTCCTTCCAATACCGATTTCTAATCTCGCTCAAAGTTGGGCTGAATACGAGCGCGGAGCCGTATGTCTGTAAGGGGGCCCGTTCTATGATCGATCGGTGACTAAATACAAACTTCTCTGCGTCCTTCAACAACTCAAGAAGGTAAGGGTTGATCTCCGGTTGTGACTGACTAGATTAGTAACCTGACAATAATACGACATTTACAACATACCTGAGCGGCATGCAGAATCTTTCTTATTGAGAAGAGCCCACTGGAAAGTTGCCCTATAAGAGACAAGCTCTCAAGCCAGCGGAGGAAGCATTCCTTCAGGAATCCAAACGCCTTCCCGTCGTCTGTCAATTCTCCTAGAAACCTGGTGTTGTCGCTATTCAGGGAGCAGAGATGGTCGGCCCAGAAGATACAAGAGTATCGTATTGGAGCTAGCGGATCTGGATCAGGGGCCGCCATATTCTCCGGTTTGAAGCCGGGGTCGAGGTCGTATATGTTGCGTTTTAGCATTGAGAACATCGCATCAGTCGAGCGTCTGACAATCTCGCTGTGCCCTTGAGCGGGCCCAGCTGGTTGAAGTCTGGACTTGTAATTCTTCGTCAGGTAGTCTTTAGCCGACTGGTGGATCAAATTGACGGTTCCCTTGGTGACTGTGAGAAATGAGCCGCACATCTCGATAGCCGTCTCCGCAACGTCCGATGGCAAGTCGGCAAGTACGGAAAGCTCGGGGATAGACAGTGGTCGGAAGGCAAGAGACATAACCACCAGGACTGTCTTACAATCCCGGGGCTTGATGATGTGGCCTCCCTCAATCCTGGTCATCATATGATCGTACAACTCCGACAAGCCAGGAGGCATCTCTGTGATGATTTCGGCAGCGTACCCTCCGTGCACTGTTTCGAGAACTTTGAACGCGAGAGCCACCCAGAGGAAAGTGTTCTTTGCCCGTCCGCGGACTTCACGGGAGACCTCAGCCAAGACCCGCTCATTGTATCCTTGTCTGTGTTTGAGGGTTTTGAGCTTGTAATGAATGAATGCGTTGACAGGATCTTCCAGACGTTGGGTGTCCAGCTCGACAAGGGATTTAGAAGCGTCTGGGGAGTTGGTGCCCGGATCCTTGAGCTCAGAGAGAAGGTCAACTTCTGGGGCGGCTAGAGAGCAGCCATCTCACCTTCTGAGAGAGGTTGAGAGAAGTCGAAATGAGGCTGAAGAGGTCCGATCGACCCTGCGCGCACTCATCAAGTGCGTCGACCGCGAGGTATACAGGAAACAACTTGGGATCCTTCAGCATATTCCGAAACGCGTCGGACAGGGCGATGAAGGCATTTTTATCCCGGAAGAGATCCGCGCTTGAATCTTTGTACTTCTGGAGTAGATGGGATATAAGGCATGGCTGCTGAAGAAGAAGAAGCCAGATCAAAGACCTGAGGACGGCGGTGGCGTTGTTCAAGGCTGTGTCTGTGCCTTGGCAGAAGAAGAAGGAAAGTGCTGGTGATAGGGCAACAGGTTGATGCGAGAGTTGGCGAATGAGGCCGATCATGAGCATCGTCTTTCCCGTGCCGGCGTGTCCTTTTATCCAGAGCAATCGACGTGGCGGACGATCGGATCCGCTGTCGTCCCAGCTTGTGAACGCTGTATACTCCGGGGTGCGAAGGATCCATTTGTACGCGTCATCGAGCAGCTCATCCTTACTCTTCTCGATCCGCTCCATGTCGTGTTGCGGATCAACGACGCGGAGATCTCTGCGGCACGCTGACTCGATATCATCCCTACGGGCGTCCTTCTGCAGCGAGATGAAGTCCCGAATGTCCTGACGGATGTCGCCGAGTCGTCTCTCCATTCCCTCGGCATGCTCAACAAGTTTTCCTAAGGAAATTTTCGTTTGTTCTTGGAAAAACTGGGCAGTGTCGTTTTGGACGATGGCTTCTGCGTCTGTAACGCCTTTCAGATCGCCGTCCCAATCATCCAAATTCAGCATCCCGCGAAAAAAATCGAGACTTCGGTTGCGATGGTAAGAACAAACACTCTTCATCTGGTATTGGAGAAGAGCTTTGTAGAGCTCGACAATGCTCCTTTCCAGCTGGCGCAAGACTGCTTGGATATCCTTGCCAGTAGCAACGTTTTTCTTGTTCAGGAGATGTTCGGTGAGCGCGCAGTACCAGTCCATTCTGGAGATGACATGGGCGAGACCGGCAAGGTTGGATTTCATCGCTTGCGCAGGATTCCGGAGCATCTGGAGGCATATTAGCAGAGCCAAGCACAAAGGGGTGTTCGAAGGACGACTGTTTACTTGCAGTCCAACGCAAACACCGGCCCACGGAAGCGCAGCCTGCGGCACGCTTTGGACAGCCAGGTCAATTATTCCCTTGACCGACAGGACGAAATCGGCGACGTCGCCTACTCCGTTCGTGATCTTGGACGCTCTGGAAATTTTCGCCCGGCCTTCCTCCACCAGCCTCCTCATATGCATCTGTCGTTTGGTCGGGTCATGGAACTCGGCCGAGATGTCGGTGTCAGGGGTAATACCTGGGTTGGCTCCGAGAACTGTTTCCAACGTTTTCAGGTATGACACGACAAGCTCTGCATTGTCCGTCTCAAGACTGTCGTAGGCGGCGTTCCACAGTCTCTCGGACACGGAAAGGGTAGGGGTCGGTGGGTCTGTACATTCGGTCGGCGGAGGTTTGGGTGCGGGTTCGGCGGGCAGAGCAGGAGGCAGTGCTTGCGATGCCGCGGGTGGTTGGTGATCGTTGGGAACTCTCGCATCTGTGCGGGGTTGGGCAGCCTTCGCCGCCGCGGCAGACGGGGAGGGGGGGGCACATGACTCTGTCGCAACAATGGAAGACGCTTTCGATCCGTGTTCTGCATTTCCCTGATCGGATGGCTGGATGTCTGCCGGAGAATATCAGTTACGAGAAGCCTTGCGATACGAGGCAGAATCTCAACATACCCGTCGACAGTGTGGCAGACGGAGCCGGCGAGGCTGCACGACGCCGCCCCAAGGGCTTCTTCAACCACTCCTTCCACGACTTCGGCTTGTATCCAGCAGACATGGTTCCGATGAGGATTCTTGTCGAGAAAAAAGAGATACTATGCAGTAAAACAATGTGAAGTCAATAGCTGCATTTCGCGCGGTTATCGCGGGGCGGAGCTGAAAGATGCGGTGAGGCTGGCCTGTTTGGTTGTCGGCCGTCCAAAAGAAAGCTGTGGCAGTGCTATTGACGAATGGCAGTAGAGTAACTCCGTACTTCCTCTTCATATGCGAGACGAACGGCCAAAGTCGTTCAAGGGTACTCATGAACCAAGCGTACCACGGACATGTCGGGAGCATCAGCGACACGGTCTTCTGATCCTGGTTCTACGCACCAAGGCCGCGAGTAGAGCGACCACCCAAGGAGCAAGCATGCTCTTTCCATCTTGCTCTCCGCTTTGGAGGGTGCGGGCCCGACGCGGCGCGCCCCGTCCCGCGCCTTTTCCTGTCGCAGTTCCGACAAAGATCAGATGTGGTCGTCGTTTCGAGAGACCGCAGATCGGATCGATGCGCCGCGCCCCACAGTGGGGCTCCTGTGCCGTTGGGCCGCCGCAAGGGCCGGAAAGACTCGCCAAGTACGCGGAACGCCAAAAAGTCGGAATGAGAGGTTTTTAATCCCCAAAAAAGAACAAACAACATCAGGGATTCGTTGGCCACCGACCCAGCTGCTGATCTGGCTCTCACGAGGTTAACTAGGGGAGAGCGGACGGGATCCCGTGCTTTCTCGTGGATATGGTCGTATGTGATAGCTGAATGAGAGAGAGTCGTTTATGAAAGTGGGCTCTGGTACCCTGGAGGACGTAGCAAAAATACATACAACACCAAGGATTCCCCAGTCGTCACCGACCTGAGTACTAGTTTGGCCCTTGCCAGTTTAACTAGGGGAGAGCAGACGGGATCCCGTGTTTTCTAGCAGGTATGGTCGTATGTGATAGTTAGGCCTCGAAAGCAAGTTTATGAGGAAGGAACGGGCTTTGCTGAGAAGTGTTCTGGGAGAGAGCCAACACGACCCTAGCTTCGCTTGTAGTACACGAGAGTAAGGGGGGAGAACGTGGTCTATGAACCGAATCACGTTACTGATTCTGGAAAGACAACCTAGGAGCTCCCCATGGGATGTCTTCTGATGTAGCTAAGGTGTCGACGTATTTGCTTCCGCAAATCAACAAAGAGGGCCAATGATGGACTTTTCCCCGAACCTCAGCTGTAATATTAAAAGTGAATAAGTGTACACGACGACGGGCAGAAGGAACTCACGGCGAAAAAATGGTCGGGGGTGTCTGGTTTCCAGCCTCAGTATCAAGGGCTATAACATAAGGTACATAAATTCCTACTCCTTTATTCTACACATGACACATAATAAACACGACCGCACGCTAAATGATTACAAGAAAATATGTACACGCTCCAACAACAAACACACAACAAATGACCACTCGTACAATCAAATCAAGATCGCTTCTGCCCCATCTCCTCGCCCGCGAACTCATCCCACTCCTCCCCAAACCCACTATTAACCTTCCTGCCCACCCATATCCCCGCCGCCGTCCCTATGCTGGCGAGCAGGAACCAGCCTTCAAACCAACGGTCGACGAACCCCGGCTCCAGCGCGCTCTCGAGCGCGTCGCCGACGGTGCGGCTCACGTCGCGGGGCAGGTTGCTCCTCATCAGCAGCGCCGCGCTGATGACGTACGTCGCCGTGACCTGGCCGACCAGCAGCGCGAGGTTGGCCTGCGCCTGGTGGAACAGGCCCGGCGCCCACTTGGCAAAGATGCGGAAGGTCTGCAGGACCGAGTTCGCGCTCGCCGCGAGGATGACGCCGGAGAGCAGGAACGAGATCTGCCGCGCCCACGCGATCTGGTCGAGCTTGGGGTCCCAGTGCTTGGCGAGCACGCCGAGGAAGCGGTTGATGGGGTCTGAGGAGGAAAAAGAGGCGGAGGGGTAGTATATGCGTCGGAGGGAGGTGAGGGTCGTAGCAAGTATGCGGTAGACGCAGTAGCCGGCGAAGATGTACTGCGGAACGGCCAACAGGCGACCGAGCGCGGTGCCATCCCGGGCGTGCGCGGCTTGCCTCGATCTGAGCGTGGAAAGCGAACTAGCGAGGTTCGACTCCATTGTTTCGAGGCCGGATATCTCGACTTGGAGGGTCCTGATCTCGGCGGCCTCGCCACTGCCGGCTATTGTCTTGAGAGACCCAAGCATCTTGCCCACCAGCCCAACCCCGGATCCTGCCGAGGCCCCGTGAGCCGTGCCGCCCCCTGCCCCGTCCGCCACAGCCTGTGCTTTCCTCTGCAGCGACCTCAACCGATGGCGCTTCGTCAGCAGCAGCTCGCTCGCCGCATCCAGCCCGGCCTGCTTCCGCGCAATATTGGCATCCGTGATCGGCCGCTTCCGATACGTCCGATCATCCACAAAGATATGCCACGGGCTCGACACGCTCGCGAACCCCGATAACAACGCCATCAGCGATATCCCAATAACCCCAATCCTCTCCAAACACGCCCTCGACAACCTCGCATACTTATATTAAACTAAGATTATTGAATTTTACCGAGTTGAGACCAGGTTTACAACACGAACTTCTAGAATTGGATTGCACGTTTATCTCAGTGTGACAATTGGGTACGTGTCCTTTCAAGTCGACTGGAGGCAGTGACGAATCTCCTCTGGCACATTCAGAATTGTTTGGCCGGGCGACCTAGTCACAGCTATCCTTATCTCGCATATGGCGCTGCCCCTGTGCTCCAAGGTCTCGGGGCACAATAAGCCAATGGGGATCCCATTCGGGGCTCCTTTGAAGGGGGTATCGGCCGGAAAAATGGAGCTTGGTCCTTGATGGGCGGTCCACCCAAAC